TTACTGTGGCAAGTAGCCCAAAAGTAATAAGACCTTTCTCAGTTCATCCTGTGACACACACCTTTTGCTCTATTTTACCTGCTGTACCTCTGACCAAAAGCCAAGGGTTTACAGCCTTACTTACACTGATCTGAGTTTGTTTCTTAAAGAATAAACTCCATGAAACTCTATCACTAGTGTAGCTTTGCAACCTTTGCTAAATTTGCACAAACTGAAAACCGAAGATGAATTAGAAAGAATTAGGAAAATGTAGTGAAGGTTAGATGAATTTTTGTGCTATCAATCACAAGATAGCTTTCTAAAACTCTGCAGGTCCCTGTTGCTCTTGCTTAGCCTGGAAAGACTTAGAGAAATATAGGTTAGCCTGTAAGTTTTCTGGGAAATTGTAGATACCTCTGGGGTCGTTCCACTCTGTTTGGCCACTGTTGTCCACTGAAAATTCTGGGTGGGCCATTGAGCTCTCAGAGAAAGCGGGAATAGCTTGGACTCAGTATGCTGGAATAGTATTAATTTACTTTCTTGTCTCCAGACAACCTTGAACTCACCCCATAGACACTCTTGAAGGGATCACAGGATGGAGACAACTTGTAGTTGTTTTCTAAGGGGAAAGACAAAGGAAAAGGATAGGAATGTACAGGATATGCAGAGGATAGGATTTGGCTTTTGATTAAAATGTAACGCTTTATTTAGCCATTATGATTTCAAAGAGAAAAGAGTAGACATTTGGAACGTGTTACCTTTAGAAGTGGTAAAAATGAAGGAGTTTACTTACTTTGCAAAGGGGAATTTCATAATGGATTGTCATCCTTTTGTAGTGTCTCCAGCTCACGCCCAGTGATTCAGCCCCCTCGCCCCTCACTTTAGATTCATCTGGATGTAGATGACTAATAAAGAAACAGCCTCACCATTCTAGCCATAAACAAGGAGTGGTTGAAATCAGGACTCACACAGACATATGATTGGCAACCGTGATTATTTCGCCCAAATTTCTAAGTAGCCATCTCAATAAGCAAGTCCCTTTTTGCATAGTGACAATAAATGGCATTACATCGTTTTATGTCTTATTTCTCTCTGATGAAAGTTAGAAAACCTCTGCTGCTTAAGAGCAGGCTAGTTTTCTAAATATTACAATATAACATTAATTAAAGAGTGTGATTTGACTATTAAAGTGATATTGTTGATTTCAGCTAGCATTTACAATGTTTAAAATAATATTTATGATATACTTAATAAAATTATGTAATTTATTAGAACTAATATTTTGTTTCACTTAATGTTTCTTTTTCATTGGACTTCCACCTCCAGGACATCAGCACAGTATATCAGATTTTCCCTGATGAAGTACTGGGTTCCGGGCAGTTTGGAATTGTTTATGGAGGTAGGTTAGCTCACTAAGTATTTTTATTAATTTAAAATTTTAGCTACTTGTGTTTATAAAAGTGGCATCTCCAAGAAAAATATAAAAGACAAGACCTGTGCGTATATATGTTNTCCTAAGCCCATAAATTAATTTTGAAGGACTCCTAAGAAAAATGCCGTATCTTAAAGAAACAGCTTACATTTCCTTCCCAAGTAGCATTCCTAATGGATTCTTAGCAAAATATTTGACAGAGTATCTATCTCAGGCTCACTTTTTCCGTAGATAGTAGACTGCTTTATACCTTCAGCCTGATACCAGTTTTCTGATTCCTTTGGAGTAAAAAAGGGTGATAGAAGACCAGAGAAAAAGGAGTTGAGTATTTTTGTTGCTAAAGGCTAAAGAACAAGTGATGATCTTTGCTCTAGAACTTTCTTTTCTAGAAGAAATATATACCTAGAAAAAAGAAGAAGAAACCTATTCAGGAAAACATCCCCGTACTAGTTTCTGCCTTGGAGAACTCTGCATGAATTAGCTGCCAGAATGGAAAGTGTGGCAGTCTTCCTGCTTTCTGCAGCATGTGGTTTTGACTTTGTTCAGACCCAGAAAAATGTCAGTGTGTTCTTGATAGCTGGAATAAGGGGAAACGGTGCAGTTTTTGATATTGTTGATTACTTTGAAATTGCATTTTCCCAGTCAGTCAGAAAAACCTGGTAAAACGTAACTTTTCCAAGCTTGGCAGGCTAGGGTCTCTGATTAATTTATTTTCTAATTTTAAGATAAGTACTCTGCATCAGTAAGTCATTATAATTTATTTCATTACTGTCAAGTGCAAAAGAGCAGAATTCAGTATAACTTCAAATATCCAATATCTTAGGTATTTAAAAGGTGTTTCTATGTGACCAATTTAATATATTAGAATCTATGACTTACAAGGTTACTGGAGTAGCAAGAATCAATGACCCTGAGTAGTACTGCATGTGAAAGTTTCCCTCCTCCTCCCTGTATCTTTTTCCCACCAGGGCTGTGATACTGCAGTGTGGCCAGTTTCCCCTTCCCTTGTGCCTGGTGTCATTTTGTTTCCTAGCACTTTGCTTCTGTCCCACCCTTGGCTTCCTTCCAAGGCTCTCCATGACTTTTCATGTTTTTAGGCCTAAGGGCATGAAAAACAAGCATCTGCTTGTTAAATCATATGTTCATCCTCTCATAAATTCAGATACTTATGAACTGAAATTTTAAAAAAAGGAAAAGGAAAGAAAAGATGAATTCTTCCAATGACTATTTTTTAGGGCTCCCGATTGACTTCTTTTAGGATTACCTCGCTTTCTCTTAAGCCCTGGCTCTAGGGTTGCAGGTTTCTCTTCACGGATACAAAATAATTTTTTTAGATTTGCTTAGCCCTGGGGCAGAGTCTGACGTGGTCATGGAAGAAGGGAGTGATGACAATGACAGCGAAAGGAACAGTGGGCTGATGGATGACATGGAAGAGGCAATGGTCCAAGACGCTGAGATGGTGATGGCAGAGTGTCAGAATGACAGTGGGGAAATGCAGGACCCAGACCCGGACCACGAGGACTCAAACAGAACCATCAGGTGAGGGCGGGCCACATGCCCAGCGTCAGTCCAACAGTGGAACTCCAAAGGGCATTTACTTTTTCAGAGCTCTTTGATATTTTAACTTACTAGAAACGAAATTGAAGGTGGGTGCTTCCTCTGTTTTTGGATGAGCTGTGTACCAAACCCTTTGGAGTTGGGAGGTCTGGATTCCCTTGGAGAAGTGCAGTTTGCATCCTTTCTAGCAGTGCCTCATTCCTCGACTCATTTTCTTTTGCGTGTGAGGGATACTCGTATTTGCCAGCCACAAGTTTATTACTAAATTAATGTGTATTCAGTGCTGATTGTGTGCAAATACAAAGATCGGGGACCAACCTCAGCAGACACCATCTGTTTTATAGATGGCCTCTATTACCAATATGAGGTATGACTACACCTTACTGTTCTTGATTTTATTTCCTAAGGAGGTGAAATTTTACATTTATCTATACTTTTTAATTCCTAGATGATCCCCATTTTTTTAAATATCAGGAATCTGCACACTATGGCCAAATCAGGCTGCTGCCTGTTTTGTAGTAAAGTTTTATTGGAACATAGACATGCCCATTCATATCATCTACATTTGCACTACAATTAGCAAAGTTAAGTATTCTGCAGAGCCTAAAAAGCTTATTTCCTGGTCTTTTATAGAAAAAGTTTCCCAACCTCTGATTTATATTATAAAGTATATTTAAATTTGTGTGCCCCTTTTACAAATGCCATATTCATTGACAAACTGAAATTGTTCATTAGAGCAGAGCAGTAACATAACTGGATTTTTCCCTTTTAATGGAATAAGACTTATTTCTTGAAATACGGGAAATAGTAGTCTTGTGACCCAACTGTCCTTTGAAGGTATACATCTCTTCCATATCAAAGGGAGCGGGCTGCAGGGGTTTACTTGCTGCATATGCATGTGGGGAGGGGATGGGAGAAGAAAAGAAACAGAAAGAGAAAGAGATGAAGGAGTGGCATAATTTCATATGCGATAGTTACTTAAAAGACAGTTTAAACAGCAGATTTTAATTTTTAGGAGATTATCCAGGGAGAGATGCAAATTCATGTGAAATGATATTATCTGTAAATGATTAATATTTTGCCTGTAATATGTAGTAAGTAAGTAAACAACTTTCGTGTGTGATTCTGAATACTTTGGCCTCGGTATGCTAAGACAGTAATCTGCCTGATGTTTACCCAAAAACTGAACACCATGTAGTTTAACCTGAAGACGAAGGGGCTTATTATCCTGCCTCAGGATTTTTAAAGTGTGCATATAAAGCGCCTGTCACTCCTCGGAGTAATCCAAATGCTGAACCATGGTACTGACAATACATTCCACGAAAAATGGGATATGATTTTTTTTTCTTTCACTTGGAAAGAGCTGAAATAAGGTTTTATGCAGGAAAAGAAGATCTGTGTCTAAAAACATTTCTTTCCTACCATATTTTGACTTTTCAAGCCCATCAACAAGCAACAATATCCCGCTCATGAGAGTAGTGCAGTCTGTGAAACACACGAAGAGGAAAAGCAGCACAGTGATGAAAGAAGGGTGGATGGTCCACTACACCAGCAAGGATGCACTGGTAAGAAGACCCACGGCCAGCGACGTCCCCTAGTCCTGCTGGCAGTAGTTAGAGGAGTTGCAAATGTCCTGTGAAGACTGTGGGATGTCTAGGTTACCAGGAGCAAACCTCAGTGCAGGCAGGGCCTGGGATCAGGGGGAGCACATTAACGTCTCTGGGTGTCAGAGTTAGTTGAACAAGCCACTGAGTTAGAGAAAAGTGTAGACAGCCATTTCAGGGAAACAAAATCACTTCCCTCTACTACATGAGATGACTTCCGAACAACTTGAATGTCTACCTGTCATTTGATAGCAGTCCTGACCACGGCAGTTTGTGCTTTCAGAATGCTCCTCTGTGTTTCAGAATTTTAAAAAAGCATTTTAGGAAGAGGAAAAACCAGTAACTATTATATACTTCTTAAACCCTTAATTAACTATTCACTTAAAAACCGACCTACTCAGGAATACAGTAATTCTATATTTAATTAGATAAAAGGTGACAGACACTCTTTAATTTTTTTAATATAATGTTGTTCAGTACTCCA